CTATTCAAAAACTCAGCTTATAGATGCTATTTATATACTTACTTTTCTTTCTTGCATTCTTGTTTTTTCCTAGGACTAGAACTCTTTTAACTGATTATAAATTCACACTGACTCAGCATATCAAATACTTGTTTTCCTGAAGGCAGTTGAACCAGCCTATTATCATTACTAGTCATCAATACACATTATACATGTTCAAATATCAATTCTGTTCCATAATAATACAGCGATGGATCAAAGATAGTGGCCAAAAGGATTCCTGTAGAGACTCCATATTTATTAGGACTAATGCTGAGTTTGTTATGGTTTTCTTATAAAGTCAGTGTAATTCTGAATTTTAAATTATAGTTGGGCTTCCAACTTATTCTTTGAGATTTCAGTAAAATTGCATATGAAACATAAACCAGTGAAAATCTCAGTTCTCTGCAGAAAATGAAAGCTATGGAGTCCACCTTGTTAAAAGCCAATCGTCTTTACCCCGACTGCTCTGCCATGGTGAAAAAACTTCGAGCAATGACTTATAATGCTGAAGAGCAGGTCCGAGCACAGAAGAAACAAGAAACTTTTCTTAAAGAACTTGGTGGAAGAACTGTACCAAAAGGCTTTCACTGCCTTTCTATGAGATTGACTGCTGAATATTTTGCTAGAGAGACCGAGAAATGGGAATTCTCTAACAAACACAAAGTAAATGATCCAGAACTTCATCACTTTGCTGTTTTCTCTGACAACATTTTAGCTTCTTCAGTTGTTGTGAACTCAACCATATCAACTGCTAGGGTAAGTTACCATGCTCTTCCCCCGTTAATAACTTTTTTTAGTTTTAATATGTGATTCAACAAAGGATTACATGGGGCCAGAGACAGTGTAAAGATCATGGGGATGGATTAACATTTTTTAAATGCATTCTATTATGAACTTTTTTGTTCTGACAACTCAGTTTCGCTGCCTAGAGGACTGCCAAAATTGTGGTCCATTGTGGTTTCAATTATTAATTTTGAACTAATGACCCACTGAAATCTTCATTTCCTTCTATATTCACATGCTTTAAAAGAGCAAAGAGGACTTAATTTTATCTGAAAATCATCTCCCATCATTGTAGAAATGGTCTCATATTAGTATGTTGTAGGCCAGTAGGGGAAAATGGAGACGCAGCTGCAACTGCAGAATGTGATAGTTTCATGCTACTAAACCATTTTGAGAGAATGAGAATACTACTTTTGCGGATTTTGAGAATTTAGCCTTGGAGTTTCTAAAGGATTAGCACTTTCTGCATACTCTGTACATTCATTAATGTCATTTGTAATAAAGTCCTCTCCTGAGAAAAAAAAGTAAAGCAAGTAAGAAATCTTACTGATCCTCTTTCCATGTCTGGCTAACCCGTGTTACGCTATATAACTGATGGGAAAGTGCATTTTCTTCTTAAGAGGAATTAAATTATGAATTTAATTGTTCTTGTAATTTTGTATAGGGGATTAGGCATATTCCATCGGTCTATTGTGCATATTCTTTAGGAGGAAGGAAAGATGGTTCGGAACATGATATTTGTAGATGATTGAGACCTGTGCTTATTTTTTGGAGAGAAGTAATTTCCAATGATGTGTTCTTCTTAATTATACAGGCTGATATTAAATTTTATTTACTTGACAGGATCCAGAGAGAATAGTATTTCATATAGTGACAGATTCTCTCAACCTTCCAGCAATGTCAATGTGGTTCTTACTGAATCCTCCTGGAAAAGCTACAATCCATATTGAAAGCATAGACAATTTTGGATGGTTGTCTACAAGATATAATGCAACTCTGCAGAAAGAAGGCTCTGTTGATCCAAGATATATATCTGCACTCAACCATCTTCGTTTTTATTTGCCAGATGTTTTTCCCCTTCTGAATAAGATTGTGCTCCTCGACCATGATGTGGTAGTGCAAAGGGATCTGTCAGGACTTTGGAGCATTGACATGAGTGGCAAAGTCAATGGTGCTGTTGAGACTTGCAATGTAAGCGAGCCTTCATTCCGTCGTATGGACATGTTTGTTAATTTCACAGACCCAATGGTAGCAGAGAGTTTTGATGCCACAGCATGCACATGGGCCTTTGGGATGAATGTGTTTGATCTTCAAGAATGGAGGAAACGTGATTTAACTGGGCTCTATCATAGGTACCTGCATTTGGTAAGGAATTACATCCTTAAAACTCATTTTTATTGCATTTAGGCTGTGTAATTATTTAAGCATTTAATACTTCTATGCATATTCCTTAGACTTCAGATTTAGAAAGTATACGGTTTCTATTCTTTCTTGTCCTGGGGACCTTTATTATTGAAACAAATTTCTATGTTGCGGGATTCTTATGCATGCCTTTGTATTGACATATCTTGCAATATCTTTCATTAAAGGATCATATTGATTTATTACTTTGTTCTAAGTAAAAGTCGTAGTACGACACGAATTACTTGGAGCCCCTCAAAATTCAGTAATGGAAAATGTTGTTTTTACAGAGTCCACCTATTTCCGTCAAATTAACCCAATGCCCCCGGTTAAAATGTGCGTTTGTTTTCAAAAATGAAATTTATGTGTTTGTGTTAGTTATGGCTGTCCATGTTTATTTACCTTAATTACATTAAATTGACTCGATTAACCCTGGTTTACATGTATTACTGTCTCTGTGCTTATTTTTCTCTGGATTATGCAGGGAAACACAAGGCCATTGTGGAAAGCCGGTAGCTTGCCTATCGGTTGGATCACTTTCTACAAACATATGGTACCTTTAGATAAGAGATGGCACGCCCTCGGGTTGGGTTATGACTTGGGAGCGAGTCCGGACAACATAGAGAAGGCAGCAGTGCTACATTACGATGGAATCTTGAAACCATGGTTGGATATTGGGCTTGAGAAGTACAAGCACTACTGGAGGAAACATGTCAAGTACGACCACCCATTCCTGCAACAGTGCAATATCCACGACTAGTTAGATCCTCACACGAGAAGTTTCAAATCTGACATAGGTTCCTCACATGTTCAATTGATTTTTTCTCATTTTTCCACAATTTGACTTGAGAGTTTCGACTCTATATTTCATTTTTCCTTTGCCAATCCGGCCATAAGTGTTTAGAAGCCGAGTCCACATTAGCAATAATAGAGGCCAATAATCGGCAAGTCTAGTCTGATAGTTCAATACTAGGACAATTTGTAAATAATATTTATTTTTTGAAGTGCTAATATCAAATGTATGACTTCCAATTTTCAATCCAGTAGATTTTATTGTGCAGCATAACAAACAATAATATGTTTGAAGAAGGCATTGTGTTGGGCCTGTTGGCTGCCTATCAAGAGAGCTAAGCCTGAAAAGACTAGCTTCTCTAGATGGGGCCTAGTCCACTCCAGCCCAATATGTACCAGACTAATCAAGGGCAGGGCAGTGCCAGCCCACATTTAGAGCCTAAGATGGCCTAGCCCTTCTTTACACATCTCACCAAGCATGTTTATGTTTATGTGGTAATTAGGCATTTTCTTTCACATTTTAAAAAATCAAATTTTCACTTTTTTTTTTCATTTATCAGATTTTTTATCTTTTCAAAAAAAAAGTTTTTTTTTTTATCATTTTAATTAAATAATTATTCCTTTGAAACCCTAATTTATCAATTCATCCCCCCACACGCGATAGTCTCTCTTCCCCTCCCCTTCTCCTCCTCCCTCCTGCTCCTTGCCGGAGCTTCTCATCCCTGCCGATTCATAGCAGCATTCGACGCTTCTGTGAACGCTGTTGTGAATCACAGCAGCGTCGACTGCTGCCGATTCACAACGTTAATGAGCAGGTCGACGCTGCTGCCGGCATCGACGTTGCTGTAGTTGTGGGGGGTTGGGGTTTTTTTGTTGGGTACAGCAGCTATGTTGTTGACGGTGATAGGGTTTTTTTGTTGGGCACAGCAGTTGTGTTGTTGGGTACAGTACGTTGCTGTGTTGTCGGCGGTGATAGGGTAGGCGTGGATCTGATGGCTGTGACGGGGTAGAGGTGGTGTCGATGGTGATGTGTGGATTTGCTGTGGGTGTAGTTGTGTGGCTGTGGGTGAATTTGCTGTGGGTGTGACTGTGGGAATTTGTGTGGTGGTGCAGGCGGCGATGAGATTGTTGTTTTTTGTTATTATTATAGCGGTGGTTGTGGTGGTGCTGTGATGGGGTGACGATGGTGGTGTTGTTTAGGCGGCAACGGTGTTGGTTGGTGGTGTTATTGTTGGTGGGTGTTTTAGGGATTAGGGTCGGCGGCGAATGGGACGAAGTATATGTGACCAACTATTTGGTCGTTCTGTGACAAAGTATTGTTGGTGTATTGGGATTGGAGGACGGGTGTGGCGGATGGGTCGAAGTGTCTGTGACCATCTATTTAGTCGATCTGTGACCTGTGATCTGTGACCAGTGACCATCTATTTGGTCGATCTGTGATCTCGAAATAATCTGTCCTACAAAATTTTTGATCTGTGACCAGAGAATAGTTGTCGGAGTGCTCGTCGGTCACAGGAGTAGTCGCCGAAGGGGGTGAGGTGGGTTAATTATATTATATTACAGTTAAATATTTAATTTAATATAATAATTGTGAAATATAATTAATTAATTTATGAAAAACCTTATTTTTGCAATTCTAAACTTTTGGGCTTGATTTTTTATTTTAGGATAGATAAAACCTGAATTGTGAACTTTTCCCTATGTTTCTTTGTATTTTTTCCTCTTAATCTGATATTTGTTTCGAATCTCTTGATTATTCTGGCTGTCAACTAGTCCTAAGGGACCCGTTAGGGATCAAATACTGGTGGTTAAAGAGATAAAATTACGAGTGTCAAAACCTGGTTGGATGATGAGGCTATCTATTTATCCAAGCCATGTGGTTTCCTTGTACTCGCTTTGGTCCAATAATATTAATTTGTCTCTTCCTTTCCTCAAAACAAACTGATACTACTTGAGGTGGCACTGAAGAGTTGATAATTTCATTCAATTCCCAGTTGAGTAAAATGGCCACCATTTCTGCTTGCACTGCAACCTCGTCTCTTGCACGTGCCGCCCTTGTGCAGAAGGCATCCGTCGCAAGGCATTCATCCGTTCTTGGTACGAATCCCATTCACAATCTTATTATACAGTACACTAAAGTTATTTCTATTGAATCACTCTTAGCCCTTTCCAATCTAATATACTAAACACACCACGCGTCTAGTTTGTAGAAGGTGGACGATATAGTATTAAACCTTCTTAAATACTATGTACTATACAAGATGATTATGTTTCATAGATGATGTGGTTAAACATTGAATCCTTCATTCCGTTAGTCAATTTGTACAGAATATGATGTTTTCTTGTATCATCATTCTAAAATTGACCACAGGGTTGCCATCAATGGCAAAGGTGGGAAAAGTGAGATGCTTGATGGAGGAAAAGCCTCAAGAGAGTGACTCAAAGTTAGGCATGGGAGCATCTTTGATGGCTGCTGCTGCCTGCGCTGCCACCATCTCCGGCCCGGCCATGGCTCTGGTGGATGATAGAATGAGCACGGAGGGAACTGGGCTCCCTTTTGGCTTGAGCAATAATCTCCTTGGTTGGATCCTTTTGGGTGTGTTCGCTTTGATTTGGTCTCTCTATACTGTCTATACCTCCACTCTTGAAGAAGATGAAGAATCTGGTCTCTCCCTTTGAGCATGAAGTTCCACAGTATTTTGTGTAATACTAAGTTGATTCTTGTCTGAACCTTTGAACTGCTGCTTTATTGTGCTTTTTATGGTTTCCCTAATTGTAATTAGGGCCATCTGTTGCTACAATAAAGGGTGTTTATTTGATGATTGTGTGTAGAATGTGTTTGTTAGATATGCATCCCGTCGATTTAGATGCTAATGTGAGCACCGTACATGACATGCTCTACTAGTAACGCTTTCTTTCTTTCTTTCTTTCGCAATAACACAAAATTGATATATGGAGCAAGACTCAAAAGCATTCAAGAATATCGAGTGAATATTCTTTTTCATAATTGGTCGACCCAAAGGCCAACGTTATATCTAAAAGAAAGTGATCTAATAAGCAGTAGCCACGTTACTTGACATTTAAGGGCTATTTGAAATTAAAAGTATCACGACATTTTCCTTGGTCTTCTTCTATTTTTGAACTTTGTTATGATCACATCCAAGTCAACATAAGACTATTGCGGAAAATTTAACGAGATTATTTACGAGTTTATCGTATAAAATTTGTGCAAAAAGGGAATTCCTAAAGCATTTACTTGTTTGAAATTGTAAATATCTTCCATTTGCTTGGTTTGGAAAAATATCAAGCCAATATGCTCTAAAAAATAAAATAAATGACCAAACCTATGATGCCATTTCAAGCCAATAGAAATAGAAAAATTAAAATTAAAAAATATCAACACAACGAAGATAGAGATAAACTCGATCAAGTATATCATGTAGCAAAAGAAATAATGATCCATTTGGCAAGACTTATACGTCTCGTAGAAGACTCCGTGATTCAGCTAACCTAATCATCTATGAGCTATCTTCAAAATCTCTTCTAAACTGACAAAATACTTTCAAAAAAGTTGTCATATATATATTTAAAAATTTCATAATCTTAAAAGTAACTTTTAACTTTCAAAAGTCGTGTCTAAATGGACCCGAAGAGCATTTGTGGCTAATAATTGGTGGTGGGTATGCAAACTTGAAAAATCCGTAGAGCATCAATTAAACTAATATTTTGACCTAGACTTATTTGCACCCGTTAAGAGCCTTGCTATGTATACAAAAAATGTGTACATGAACTTTGACAACATTCTTTCATTGGATTTCACCCAAAAAAAAAAAAGTTTCGGCAGTCAATTATGTGCTACCAACACTTCATCTGTAATGCAAGTGAGCATCATTTTCTTATCAAGTAGATAAATCCTAAATTAACTTTTATTTTGTTTAAAAGAATCTCGTGTTATTTCGATTGTGCTAAATATACATAACAATTTACATGATAATTTACCAACAAATGATGTATCGAGATTTATTTAGGTCAAAATCTTATCAATCAAATAATTTTTCGATTTATATTTTAACACCTCATTACTATGTAAAATCAATTATGGTATAGGTACGAAAAAAAAAGTTGACAGAGTTTTTACCGAACAGCACTTGGCAATTTTTCATTAATTTTGGACCTAATAATGAACGAAAATGCACAATAGTGATTTATAAAATATTGTGTAAATAGTTACGATAAGCATTTTCGTTTAATTAAAAGTAGTAGGGGATAGGCTGCACTTTGGTGAGTGAATTGTTTCAAAACTCACTGAACTTATACATTGGTAACGGACTGCTCACTAAACTTCATTGTGCTTCGAAGTACTCACTCAACTTTACCTTTTACCTCTCTATCCATCACCGTCAAAAATTCTGTTTGTGGGTCGCTGACGTGGCAGACGGATTTCCTAGCTGGCAGTCCGACGGCCGTTAAAATTCCAACTCACACACGCTGGACCAATTAAAACACGCCAGCATGGATTTTTTAAACAATTTTTTTAACTTAAAAAAAAAACAATTAAAAAACCCCCAAATCGACTCCCCTCCCTTCAAATTCGAAACAATTCACTCCCAAAATAAACCCTAGTCCAAAATCTCTTAAATCCAGCCCTACCCCACCTCTACTCCACCTGTTGAATCCTTCCCGAATGCGCAAATGGAGGGACCACAAGGAGGTAAATTTGAATAATTTTGTCTTGGTTTCTTGTCAGTATTCGCACGGGTGGTGACCGGCCAGAATCTGATTTTTTTTTTCTTTGTGGGGTAGCTTTCAACCGTGTTTACGTTTGGTTTAGGTGTATAAAATGTTTGTTGAAACGGTTAATTGATGGATGACATAAAATTTGCAGACTATGACCCATTTGAAGAACTTACCACACCTGCAAATGACGAACCTTCAGACCACGGAGATTCATCTGATGGGCAAGAATCTGGTTCAGACGAGGACCCAGACTTTATTGATTTTGGGAATGAATTGGACTCCGAAGGGGATGACATGCTTTATGAATTGCATGTGACGGGGATAGAAATAGGTTCGAATGTGACGGAAGCGGTAGTACAGAATCAGCCGGAGGATGATGATGTGGTTGATGACTTGGAGTACCCAAGTTCTGAAGAGATTCAGGCTGACTGTGTATCCGATGAGGAGGTTAGCCATTGTTTTCCGGAGTTCTTGGCCGAGGTTGACATGCGGAATCCACATTTCGAAGTTGGTCAGCTATTTAGAGATGTGGTGGAGTTTAGAAAGGCTGTGAGAACATATGGAGCTGTAAACGGATACAACGTCAGATTTAAGGCAAATGACGAGANTCTCTCGAGCACAACTGCACTAGAGACCAGTATAATAGGCATTGTAACTACGAATTCCTGACCCGTCATTACATTGAGAGGTTCAAAGCAGATGTGGAGTGGAAAACAAAGAGCATATTGTCAGTAGTGAAGGAGGATTTCAAAACTGAAATAAATCAGAACGTTGCATGGAGAATGAGAAGGTATGCAAAGGAACTATTGCATGGGACAATAGAATCACAATTTCGACAGTTGTGGTCGTACGGTGCCGAGGTGCTACGTGCAAATCCAGGATCCACTGTCGTAGTCAACACATTCAACCAAAATTTTCAGGGTGTATATATATATATATATATATATATGTGTGTGTGTGTGTGTGTGTGTGTGTGTGTGTGTGTGTGTGTGTGTGTGTGTGTGTTTGTTTCCAAGCATGTAAGCTTGGTTTTGTTGGTGGTTGTAGGCAGGTGATTGGAGTTGATGGTTGCCACTTAAGGGGATATTTTGGTGGAATATTGTTGATGGCTGTTGGCCAAGATGCAAATGACTGTATTTATCCCTTTGCATACGCTGTGGTTGAGAAAGAAAACACACCCACTTGGAGGTGGTTCATGAGGTTGCTAGCTGAAGATGTAAACATTGGTACGGGGAGTGGTTGGACGCTGATGACAGATTGCCAGAAGGGGCTCCAAAATGTTGTTGACGAATTATTCCCGGAGGTGGAGCATAGATTTTGCGTCCGACATATGTACTCCAATTTCTTCTCTGCTGGTCATAAAGGAAAAACACTTAAACACTTCATGTGGCGTGCTGCCAAGTCCACCACTGTTGCGGACTACAAATATTGGATGCAACAAATCCAACAAATGAGTCAAGATGCTTTCCTTTGGTTGATGGAAAGACCCGCACAGGAATGGAGCAAGTCCCATTTCGAAACTCACTCAAAATGCGATATCCTGTTAAACAACGGATGCGAAGTGTTCAACAAGACGCTTTTATTAGATCGAGAGAAAATGATCATCGATATGCTTCTGTCCATTTAGCTGAGCTTCATGCAAAGAATATAAAAGAGGAAGGAAAAGATGCGTATATACGTGGGTCGGCTTTGTCCGAGGATTAGAAAGAGGGTTCACACTTTGGTTGAAAATTTGAGGGAGTGCATCATGTAGCTGTCTGGTGGTGCCAAATAGCAAGTGGAATGTAGTCATAGAACATTTGTGGTTGACCTGGAGGAGAGAACGTGTCTGTAGAAAGTGGGAGTTGAGTGGCATTCCATGCCTCCATGCGATGACTGTTATGTGCGAGTGTAGGAATGAGTCAGAGGATTACGTAAACAATTGCTATACGACTGAGGCGTACTCCAAGTACTACGATAATATTCTTAATCCCATCAATAGGCCAAGGCTGAGGTCGGAAGTGAACGCGGAAGTAATTATCCCACCCCAACTGGGCAGTGTCTAAAAGAGGGCAACGACAGAAAAAAAGGAGGAGAGGGCCTGAGGAAGTCGTAGTACACGAGCAAGGAAGGTCATACGTAAGGAAAACTGGGCAGGTGCAGATGACGTGCACGGTTTGTGGAGCTCGTGGACACAACAAACGACGCTATACAACAGCCTCTGTTTCGGATGTGAGTGAACCCATTTCTCCTTTAACTGCCTTTTCCCTCAGGTTAAAATAATAGTGTTTTAATTTTGTAATGTAGGACTTTGTCGATACACCATTGGAGCAGGCCGAATCTGTTCAAGAAAAAGGAAGGACTGAAAGTTTAAGTTTATCAAGCATTTGGAGTTTGGTATTTGTTACAATTCACATAGCGAGTTAGGACTTTTGTTAATCCACCATGTAGGGGAAACTGTCCGCGAGGAAGGGGAGTCAAGTAGCGTCGCAGTCGCATACTGTGGAGGCAATGGTGGAAAATCTCCAGGAATCGGATAATGCTGAAGCTTTGCAGTCAAGGGCAGCTCCAAGGTACTCCCGACGTCTTGCAGATACGATAATTGCTACTTCTCGTCGAACCTGAACAGAGTCTCCGAAAATGATCATCCTCAGTTGCTGTTTTTGTTCAAGGATTCGGTGTTTTGTAATTGGCTAGGAGTCCTGTGGTGTGGATATTTCGTGGGATTTTTGTTGAACGATGTCGATTTTTGTTGAAGGATTACTTGTGTATTGTGTCCCTTTTGTTGGCTAGTAATTATATGTTTTGAAACAATGCACCAACTTATCAGTTCAATTCAATAAGATTCAAAACAGTTCATCATTTGTTTGATTTAACATTGAGCTAAATATTCATTTACAACAAATGCAGACAAATTCAACTACATTTGCAGACACATACTACCACCTTTGCAGAGGCACACAGACCCAACTGCACTACATTCATTACCAACTAACGTAACAACAACCAAATTTAGTACATAGGATGCAATACTTCAACAGACTAGTCAGATTCCAAAGAAGACGAAAATGCCAGATAATGCAATTTTATACATTTTCATCAATTTCCAACATTTCTGATTTTCTTCTTCAAGCCTGTTCTTCG